AATGAAATGCATTCACTTCAGAAAGGAGTAAGTAAAATGATTTCTATTTCCAGATGACATAATCTCAAGGGCATGATTGAGGATGGGGATGTGGAAGGGTTATTTCTAGTCCTTCTTCCTACCTAGTACCTTCAGTCTAGTTATTATTTCAAGTAATCAAAAAAATTAAGCTTCAGATTAAATAAATTCCAAGGAAACAAAGAAAAAATACTTGAGCAAGCTCAGGAGAAAGTTCAACATTGAATTTTTATCTCATTTACTTTTAAAGTAATTTCAGATATTGCCTAGGAATCCTAGAAGTTTTTACTGGAATCTTAATGGCATCTCTCTCTATCATTCTATTTTATCATAAATATACATATACACACAGTCATATGCTGCATAATGATATTTCAGACAATGAGGGACCACACATATGACAACAACCCCATAAAAGTATAATGGAGCTGAAAAGTTCCTATCAGCTAGTAATACCATAGCTATTATAATGCTATGGCACAACAGATTACTCCTGTTTATAGTGCTGCTGGTATAAACAAACCTACTTCTAATTCTAAAAAAGTATAACATATACTGTTATATAAAATACATAAAACTGATAATAAAAATAAACAACTACATTGCTGGTTTATGTATTTCCTGTTCTATGCTCTTCATCATTATTTGAGAATGTATTCTTTCTACTTATAAAAACAATTGAGGTAAGTGTTGGCCTAGCAGTTAAGGTGCTGTGTAAGATTCCTATGTCCCATATCTGAGTGCCTGGGTACCCTTATTCCAACTTCCTGCTAATGCAGACTCTGGGAAGCAGTAGACGATGGCTCAAGTGGTTGGGTTCCAGCCACCCAGATAGGAAACCTGGGTTGAGTTCCTAGCTCCTGGTTTCTTCACCCTTCGGCTAAAACCAGCCACTGTGGATATTTAAGGAGTGACCTAATGTATGAAAGCTTCTTGCTCACTTACTCTCTCTCTTTCTCACTCTCTTATATAAATAACTACATTTTTAAAATGTACTGTAAACAGTTTACTGTATTAACACTGGCAGTAGCCTCATATATTTCCTGTTTACTGGGTTTCTTGATTACATCATTTTTACTTGTGCTTGACTTTTTCTCATGTTACTTTGAGCATTAGGAACAGTAGGCTACAATTTCTATAGATGATGTGTAGGTATATAGACGGACAGATAGATAGATATAGAGATAAATAACATAGCCTAGTTGTACATTAAGCTATACCATTTAGGATTAAGTATGCTTTATGATTTTGGCACAGTAATGGAATCCCCGATGACACATTTCTCAGAATGTGTCTTTGTCATTAAGCTACACATGATTATATTTGAAATATACATATTTGTTAATACATATGTATGTGTATGAAAAAATGGAAGTAATTGTTCAATGACAAAGAATTACAGAATTTAAGCTCCATGAAGGCAGAAAAAAAGCCATTGGTTCATCATTCCACTACCAATTCATTTGGCAAATATTCAACAAGTATTTACCATTTTTCAAGCACTGTGCTTGGTGTGCTGAGCACTTGTGTTGAAATGGGGTAGGTTTGCATTTTTAAATTCTGACATTGTGTAGAGAGTGGCTTGGAAAAGGGCGATGAAGTGAGAAAAGTCTTGACAAGGGGTGATAGATAAGTATTGACCTGAGTGCGTTATGTCCCCCTTATTGTAATGAGAAAAGGTGAGAAAACCAAGATGGAGATAGCAAATCAATAGCCCTATTTTGAGAATATAAAGTATGAATTGCCTGAGAGACAGCCAAACAAGAGATCAGAGAGACAACTGGTGTATACATTCTGGATCTCAAGGGAGAGGTCTCCGTACAGAATAGATATTCAATAGATATTAATTTACTTAATTCATAATTGTTGGAAGGAAGACATAGGCTCAGTATTTTAGTTTCAAAAAAGATTAATCATAGACAAGATAACCTAATAATTTATAATTTCTATATTCATCATTCTTGTAGTCTTCTCTTTCATTCTAATCTATTCATAGACCAGGTAGCTTTTCTTTGTTATGTTAGTGAATTATTTTGCCATTGTGATTTCCTCTGGATGTTCTATTTCATAGGTATCATATTTAACATCTCATTAGGATTATATGTGCTATATTAATTCAATACTGATAAATATTGAACTCCCAGTATATGCTAAGCAATCTACTAGTTCCTAGGTGTTTATGTTTGGCCTTTGTTAACATTTCAAGGAACTGAAGTTAAAAAAATAAAATAACCAAACAAGAAAAATTGCTATAAATGAAATGGGTCATTGCTTCCATATTCCATTATTGCTGTATTTTAAGATCTTTATCTCTGTAGTCTGAGGAACAGAATATCTGAGAATAAGTTTGCCTCTAGACAAGGGTTTTTAGTCAGGCAATAAAATATGATTTATTCAAGGTCCTTGGAGCTGTGGAACAATGTTAGAGGATGGATGGAGTAAAAAAAACATGAGCCCTCCCTTATGCTGGGCATAAAACAGCAAAGATTGAGCCACAGTATAAATTGTGTAGGTAAAAATTATGTAACTAGCAAAAACAAGCCTTTCCTGTGATCATTTTTATCAATGACGTACAGTATAATATAATACAATATAATAGCACATCATAGATTAACATCCCAAAGTGCACAGGTTTCCTAAAAATGAATTCATTATCTTGCACTCCACGCATACCACCTGTTTCCCAAAAGTGATAGGAGCTGTGGGAAAAGAACCACAACCTAGTTGGATTTGTAGTATTAATCATGCTATTATACTCAGTAACTGAGAGGGGATGGATCCTATTTCTTCTTTGTGAGAGAGCTTTATGCAGATCAGCTTGAGAACCTGCAGGTTCATCCCTCTGAAAGTGTCTCTTGTTTGTGGGTTTCAGGTCCACAGTCCTCAGTAAACATGGATTTGTATGGAGGAGCTGAGCAGGTATGCAGAGCCTTCTCTGCCCTTGTGGATCAAATCACCTTGCCCAGCTTGAAGTGAAAAGGAATCCAGGCTCAAAGATTCCTTGTTGTGATGACAAAATGAATTTTTAAGATCTGCATGAAAAGAATTAGACATTCGGTCTCCCAATAGTTTGGTGTGAACTATGAAAAAGGGAAGTCTTATTTTTTAATCTCTCTACTCATGTATCCTTAGTTCTTCAAGTCCACTGAATTAATGACCTAATTTCCTGTCCAGTTGCTTAGCAAAGAACTAAATACACACACACACACACAGTTTGATGTGTGTAAAACTGATGAAATATGAATAAACTCTGGATTGCACCAATGTCAGTTTCCAGATTGATATTGTACTATAATCATGCAAGACGTTCACACTAGGCAAGAATGGATGAAGAGATATCTCTCTATTACTTCTTACAATTTCATATGAATCAACAAATATCTCAAAATAAAAATTATGTGAATGTTTCTCTAAGAAACCCTACATTTGATGAGTTTCATCAATTGTGTGCCATCTTTCTTTTAGTGGCAGATTAGATTATAGATGCTTAATTTGATGATATCCAAAGTAATAGCTGAAAGCTTTTGACTACCAGAACACTTTCTTTCTGGACATTCTGTGTGTACCAACTAATTAAACATTCATGACAAACCCAGGAAATAGGTGTCTCATTTTATGAGAAAACTAAGTTACAAAGAGGTTTGGTAGTTTGTGCAAAGTCATTTGGTCAGCACTTGAAGAAGCTGGGATTTGAACCTAGCTCCTGGGCCTGTACTCCAGCCAGTACTCTCTAGTGTCTTTTAATAAATATTGTTATGATTTCAATGTTTTGCCTTTTGGTTTCATTTGGAGAACTTGTGGGTTTTTATTTATACAATCTATAATCCCTAGAACTATTTGCAAATGAAATGATATCCAGTTGGATAGGGTGAGAACTAGGTTATCCCTGTTCAATCTAATCCTAATATTTTTTTAAATAATCAGCCAGCCTATATAGATTTTTTGTTTTGATTTTGTTTAAGATATTCACTCTTCTTGTTATTTCATACCTACTTATTCCTTACAAGTTTGATAGGGCATGAATTAGCAAGCTATAATCCATGGAACAAATCCTACTCAGCTGCTGTTTTGGACAGACTGTGGGCTAAGAGTGGTTATTACATTCTAAAAAATGATTGATATAATCAAAAGAATAATACTTAAAACACCTGAAAATTGAATGTATTCAAATTTTTAATGATGAATTCAAAGTTTTATTGGGGCACAGTCATACTCATTCATTTATATATTGTGATAGTTGCATTGGTTCTACAAAAGCAGAACTGATGCTTTGCAACAGAGACAGGATGACCCACAAAGCCTATAATATTTACTATCTGACCTCTCCACGAAAAATATTGTCAACCTTATTGTGGCATACCAAGTTGAGGGAGGAGCAAAGTGCAGTCTCTTCTGCAAGCTCATTCTCCGAGAGTAACATCTTTTCAACTGTTTATAAGAGGAAATGAGGTTACCCAGTGGTTTTGAAGGATGTTATGAATGACATGGAAAAACAGAAAAAAAGCAAAAATCATGAGCCTATGTAGGAAAAGCCGTCAAAGGGTGAAAACTTTTTAATGTGCTCATTCTCCCAGCCAAGTAAAAGTGAGAGCTGAGCCTCCTTCTCCCCCTGCTGCATCCATAGGCTTTCTTCCCCTATCACCAATCCTCATAGGAAAAATTGAGTTCTCTGATAAAAGCCCCTTTAGATAAAATTTCGTGTGCAAGGAAGGCCTTAAACCTTCAATGGAAACACTTACAGAGACTTCCTTTGGACCTGGAAAAAGCAAAGGAATTTCTGACATACCCGAAATTTAATCTAGCTGTCAATTATATTTATGAAAAAATAGAGATGGGAATAATTAAAGATAAATAACATTGTATCTAGAACTCTATGGAATTTGCCAATTGTACTTCTCTACTATGAATCTCATTCAGGCTTAATCACTTAACAAGAAAAAAATTTTGAATTTTTCTCTTATAATATTCTTCATTTTATTTTGTTTTTCAGTGCAAAGTGTAGCAACTTATCAAGGATTACTATTTAATCAAATAGAAAATATGCTAATTGGGAAATAATTTTTACTTATTTATCTCATGATATCTTGTTACAGTTTGGACATCTCTAGTAGTAACATTAAATGATGAAATAAAGAGAATCAAGTAACATTACTTGGAGTCCAGAACTTTTATTTTTTCCACTAGATGAATGTTTTATTCACCAGTTTGTTGCTTTGTTTTGTTTCATATTTTGCTTTACTCAGCATGAAAAAATATTGTCTCAAACAAGATTCAGATATCACATACCACAGAGAAACTGGCAATTATGGATATATTCTCTTATGTGTCTGTGCATAAGCAATCCCTAAGCAGTGACTAGGAAGTCATGCAGATGTGACATTCTACCTTATTAATAATGTGAAGCATCCCTAAACATATTATCAGATGAATACAAAGATCTGAGTACCCTAATCTCCAAGTCATCTTTGGAAGATATTTAACTCCTTTAGACAGTAGGATAGTCTGGTGGTAATGTCATTATTTGAAGTTACATGCTAGCAGCCTAAACAATAAATCTTTAAGTACTGTGAGAGAATGTGGCTTAATATTTATCTCTGGGCATTCTCACCATTTAAAATAAAGGATCAACAGTTATGAACATATATATACACACACACATATATATATTCCAAGGTGGGAGTTTTCTCTGATGTCAGATTTATTTTTTCTTTATTTCCAAGTTCATTTTTCCAACGAACCTAGATCCACTCCTTTGGACATGCATGCTTATTAAATCTCCAATCAATTCTTTCTTCTTTAGGAAAAGTGTTCTTGGGAGCTGAGAAAATGTATCTGAAAGTAGAGAAAAAGAACTTCATAAAGCCACTAAATTATTTTCATGTTACTTAAATAACAATAAATTGCTTCTTAAAAGAAAGTTTTATGTTTCTGCCACTCTGCTATCAAAATCCACATAAATTTGTTGACGGGGTATATATGTAAAATTTCAGTATTTGCACAAAGTTTTATGTCCTAAGAAGTTTTGTTATATAATCTAAATTAGATAAATTATATGAAATATATTTATTATCAACTGATACGCACTAAAGTATATCTAATTAAAAATGAATGGTTATTATACAATTTCAGCTTAAAAACATAAACAAAAAATTTTAAAGCACATAATCTTCCATATAACCATAGTTTTATGCACAGATACTTTATACCATAGATTACTTAATAATTACCCTATTATGGGACATCTAGTATACTTCCACATTCCTCATTACTGTAAATAACATTGCAGTGAAAGGCCTTATACTTCATCATGAGCTATATCTCTAAATGTATCCTAAGATTGCAAGGTGAGAAATTGCTAAGTAGGTTGTTTAGGACATTTCTTAGAATTGAGTAAAACAGAAAATCAAACATTTGTGAGTCTAATTATCTATGTTTCTAAATTATTGTTTTCTTTTGTATTTAGTGTTTTAAAAGCACCATAAACATTTGCCAGCTAGTTAGATCCCAACTGCAAACAATATCAGATATAAATCTAAATTTTGATTTTCTCATCATGGAGGAAAACAAAGATTTACAATTTTTCTACAACATACAACCTGCAAGGTCCAGGAAGGAAGGTTTTTCTGTCCTCTTAAAAGCAGAATTAGATTTTTCCTAGGAAGAGATCATCATTTTTTACACAAGATGTACTTTAAAATCTCTTCATTTTCATTGAGGCCATTACTAATCCATCAATTAATCTCAATTCATTATTTTGTCTTTGGGAGTTACCTGTGTATGCTTTCCCCGAATCAATCTATCCCTCACTGTCTGTCTCTTCCTTTTCATAAAATCAAAATTTAGCCTGTATGCACCTTCTATACACCTTCCACGAGATACTTCAGCATTCAACTAATAACTCATGTCTTTCTAGACTCAATAACAGTAATCCTTAGAGTCTTTTCTCATAATGACATTTCTAGCCCTCAGATTTACTGGAAATTTCATTTCTGTCCCTCCTCTGTTCCTACCTACCATTGTTCAGTGTCCATGTCATCTCCCTGGTTGGCCAACTTGGAGCAACATGCTTCCATGGTTTATGAACAGTTAAACAAATATCTTTCATACTGGTAATAGAATCAGAGAATTTTAGTATGTGAAGAAACTTTTTGGGCTGCCTACTTTTTTCCATACCCCCCTTTTTCTGATAGAAAAACATTACATAGTTATTTGATATCTCTAGTATTTGGTGACCCAATATTAACAAATATGATATTTATTAACATATAAAATTATATGAATTTTATGTTTTTAACATTTGTCTTAGGGAGAGTTCACAAATTAATCTTAACTATTGATTTGAAGACATCAACAGAACAAGAAATCTTTTGCATATTGTGTAGCCACTTCTTTTAGTTATTCTCCCCTTATGCCCTGATGATGTGAGTTTCCTGAGAACTGTGGAGATAAACACCTCTTCACCCTCACCACTACCCAACTTTGCAACATGTTACTCCCAGGAACAAAAGAAACTATTATCAGAGGATCCCTGCAGGTACATCCAGAGCCTGTTGAAGCACTAGAGATTTAATGAAACCTCTTGAGATGAAATCTCAATGTTCCTGTAACTATTTAACTTTTGGATATGGTATCTCCTTGACCCAAAATCTTCTTTGACTATGACTATGCAAGCCAAATAGAAAGTCTTATTTGATGATCTATAATTGTTTTGTTGAACATTAAAATAACATCAATAAAATGGAATGCTTGCTTCTGCTGTTGGGCTTCTTGCATAGCAACTCTCTCTAAAGTTTGTAGACCAGCTGAGTCAACAGCAACTTTGTTGCAAGATGAAGTGGCTTCTAAGCCAAAAATTTCCTTGGAGAAATATTATGCACACATGCATATAATTAATAATAAATAACTATTTTCATTTCCTACTAAACATATTATTTTGTATACATTTCTTTGAATTTTTCAGAGAGTAAAAGATAGAAAAAATGTTAGTAATGATTTGAACAGTTAAACATGAATGGGAGGGGTGGGAAAAGGTTCCAGAGAGCACCCTGTTGTAGAGAAGAAAATACATTTATGGCTTTAGATGATTCTTCCTCATGCTGATGCCTGAGCAGCCTCTCCTCAAAGTATTTTTAAAATATTCGCAACCTTATTTAAACACCTTCATTTTGAATTTCTACTTTAATACCAAAGCTACCAAAGGAGACTTCCTATAAAGTTGAAATTACTTCAAAGTACAGTAATACATACCAAAATAATAAACCTATATATAAATAAAAGCGGATTTCCTGGTGTTGTGGGTCAGAAAATCAGGAAAATTTTTCATATCTGAGTTTAAAACCAGCTAGGTATATAAATACTCAATAATGTCTTAGAAAAGCAGTGTTAGAATTACTACCATTCATTCCTATTTTAATAGACGTATTACAGGAATATATAACAATTTTAATAATCAAATGTACAAATGTAAGAATTAGCTATGACTCAGTTGTTCACTGGTACATAAATAATTCTAAGGAGATACTGCCTCATAAATAGCCCTTGCTACCAGATTTGGAAGCTAATTTGTTGAAATGACACCACAGAAAGAATAAAAACAGCATGAATAGGGCCCAGGACATCTCTTCACTCATTTATAGGGGCTTACTCATTCCAATTCTAGGAGGAATATTGATTCTACAATGCCAGAGAAGACCCTGTAAATTTGTAGGAAGTTCCAACTTACTAATAATTAATTACTCATCTTGGTGGATGTAAATTACTTATAGAAGATTCATTCAAAATTCAACAAGCTTTGAACCTGCAAAAAGCTAACTGTTTTTGCTCTTTACTTCATCAGGTAAGTACTTCTCAGAAAGTCTCTCTGTTTACATGAAAACAATGTGGTTTGTTTTTTTCAATTTCCAACTGGCAATAATTTGTGTGCTGTGAACACTCCCCAGTCCCGCAGCAAGTAAACATCAGGTCATGACTACCTATGTTTGAGTTAATATTAAAAATCAGTGTGAATCTCAGGGCAGCTCTTTCTACTTTCATGTTGCGTTTTGGAATTATGCTTGTCTTTGCTTGTCTTTTCTGATTCTTCCTTGATGGGGTCCACAAAAAGTATGAGGATAAGGACATTTTTACATAAACTCCTACTATAAAATGCAAAAGGAAATATTTTCTATTCTCCTATCATGTGTGCTTTAGGTTCGTTCCTTTGACAGAACTATACATGACACTGGATTACCCTGAAGCTATTTCCCTCCTCACGATTCAGCATATTCATACTTGGTTGACCCTTTCAAAAGATATGGGAGCTGGGATTGACCACCTTGTTTACTCCCTGTGTACTGTGGCTGTGCTGCAGAGATTTTCTCTTCCTCTCCAGCCAACTGCCTCCTTCCTAAGCCATGGTTCCTTGAAAGCACGCAGTCCACATAGATGTCCCAGAAGAGTTGGGCCAGATCCCAAAACAGAGCCCCATGCTTCAAGTTCTCAGATGACTTCAGGTAGATCATAAAATCCCAGAAGCCTGAAACAGTGTTGGAAATGCGAGGCTTTCGCATTTCCAGGAGAAGCACTGAGGAGGATTCCCAGCACTGAGGATCAGCTTGGTTAAGAGCCAGCAGGTCTGTCTGGCTATGACAGAAGAAAGGAGGCACACAGCACATTCCCACAATGAGCAGGGAGCAGGTGAGGTTCAAGGGGCGGTGGATCCCTCCTCTGTTCCCAGGATCAGCCATGGCCCTGAAACTGCACAGGATGGAAATATCTCATATCAGTCCCTGCTTGTGCTCCATGTAGTAAAGAAAATAAATACGTCCTTAAGAACCTTGGTCACAGCAAATGAAACACATCGTTGTCACTAAGTAACAAAGATATCTTACTCACCATCTAACAAGTCTCGTTCTAGCTAAAATTAATCATTGTCAGGCTAGGTAGTGAGTGTAAAACTAAGATATATCAGCTGAGAGATCTTTAAGATATGGTCTTTTGTAAGATTAATCAGTAAAACAGGTTTTTGCTGGTCCAGAGTAGTAAAGTTTAAAGAGTATTAAATGCTTAAATTTAAACCTTAACATGCAGTTTCAAGTATTCTACAATATGTCAAACCTTGCTATCCTAATATAAGATTCCTACACAGTTGGGAATTTGATTATATTTTTACCCTTGAGATGCTTTGTTTTTTACACTGACTTTTAATTTTTTAACAAAGGCATATAATTACAAAATATTATAATAAAAGAAAGATAACATGCTAAAAGTACAAGTTAATGTATGTGAGAATTATATTCATTCCATTTGAGTACATTTTGTTGACATTTTATTAACAGCTAATATGTTCTGAAAGATATTGTTTTCTAAATTCTCTTTTCTTACTTTGGATCTCAAAGATTCTAAGGAAAATGACTTGCCTCTCTTTCAATTTCTCTAGCTCTCAATGCTGACTACAAAAAAATCAAAGTATCCACATTACCACCTTGAAATTTTTCTTATGTTGCAAGTGTAATGACTTATCTTATATTTCCAAACATTTGTATGTTAGTATCATGAAGGTAAGCAAGTTACATCTCACAGGACTATTGGAGCATTTAATGGTAACAACAATATGGAATCTTTCTCTTCTGCGGAGTAGCAAGGTTTTGAGGTTCCAATAAATAAACATTTCAAAAGCTATATTTGAACATTCACACTCTTATTTTGAAAAGTGTATTTGAAATAAAAAATTATATAATTTCTCATATTATTTATATATTATGTTTACTTGAACAAAGTTATGTTTATTTTTTTCCTTTTCTCAACTAAAATATCAAAGTTGAGGTTCCCCGAGGGATGCTTTTCCTCAAGGG